TATATATATATATATATATATATATATATATATATATATATATATATATATATATATATATATATATATATATATATATATATATATATATATATATATATATATATATATATATATATATATATATATATATATATATATATATATATATATACTACTACTATATATTATTATTATATATATATATATATATATATATATATATATATAGGAAGGGAAACGATATACTATATATCCATATCTCGATACACATACGAATACAAGAACCATATCCTGCTCTACGCGCACTTATATACACCTTCAGTAGACCCTATTACATCTTATGACATCGCTGCCGTGTGTATACACAGTAACATACCCCGAATAAACGGGGCTAGAGCCGCCTGGGTCTCTTTTGCCCCGCCTAGGTAGTACTCAGGTGACAGTTGCGCTGGGTCAACCGGTCCTAAACCACCCGCGCGGGTGCGTGTCCTGAACTCCTGCAAATTGGACACCAACATACTTGCCCCTACACCCCTACTCCTCTTCCTATCGCCACCAACCTCTCCTGTGCTTGCGCCTGCGAACAACCCACCATCTGCCCTAGCACTCCCATAGTCAGTGGTCCTACTTGGACTATCCCTGTCTTCCCCATACCCTGTCCTGGCACCTGTGTGTGTGTGCTCTGGTGCCATTGCACGTGTTTCTTCATCCCCATACACACCCCCATTACTATTCATATCAATCCCATCCACACCCCCATTCCTATACATATCATTACCATCCACGCCCCCATTCCTATACATGTCATTCCCATCCACGCCCCCCGTACTTGTCTTATCTGTGTCACCATCCTTTCTCCTCTCTTGTGTGCGCACAGTACTCCTTCCCATACTATCTGTACCAGCACTCACAACCACGCTTGCGCCACCACCCACGCACCTAGTCCCTTTTTTTGGACTGGTCAGGGCGGTTTCTGTCCTACTCTCCGCTGCCATCTCTCTCAACTTACCTACATCCCGTAATATCTGATCCCTCATCTTGCCGATCTCTCGAGCCCGATCTTCGGGTAAGCGCGTGGTGACATACTGGCATAACAGCGTCACATTCCTTATTAGCTGGATCACATTCTCGTCCGGGATAGTCCTGACCCGGGACTCTTTGACATCTGTATGGGTGTGATAGGGATGCATGCAGGAGATTGGGTTGGTGTTGTATGTACGCACATGTGCTTGCAATCACTTGGATATATATATGCATGGATATTGAGAGTAATAGTACATACTTGCACATGCTATAGTCTGTTCCTGTATTCTGAGCCTGCTTTTATATAATGTACGCCTGGATATTCAGTTGTGTTCCCGTACTTCCTTCTATTCAGTTCGGTACTTGCTTATACCAAGGTATTTGCGTGCACTTACATACTTGCGTATGTGCAGTTACCTACCTACCTTTGGTCACTTACATACTTATGTTCACTGACATACATACTTATGTTCGCTTACATACGTACATATGCTCACTTACATACTTGCCTACTCTTGAATATTTACGTACTTGTACGCACCAGTATTATGGTCCAATCACAAGCCCATACCCTATGTACACTTGCTTTCATCCATTCACTTACGTACATATCTCTATCCACTCACTTACGTATCTCTATTCACTTACTGACCTATATCCACACACATACCTACATTTAAGTTATTTATACCTACCTATATCCACTCCTCTCCCCTTACATACCCACACGCTCTTATTTATACCTACTTACGTCCACATCTCTCCCCCTGCCTACCTACACTCACTTACGTATAAGTTTTGGTATGCATTCGTCTATGACCGCCTTTGGCCAATACTCGTTGAGACATTGCCTTTGTCTACTCAGAATCCTCATCGTGGTCTTCTCTGTCCACTGCAACATATGCTTACCATACACCACCTCTTGCCACAGATCTACTCCGTACTCCAAGATAAAAATATATTTCAGCGCCAGAGGAATGAGTTCCCAGATCGCTTTGATCAGTGCCTTTGCCGCCTGTGTCAATTGCAGTGCGGGATGCAGTGGTGAGCAATGTGGTTGTATACAATGACTCATCCTGTGCTATAAATAGACTGCGTACTCCGAGATAAAAATGGATTTTAACGCCAGAGGTGTGAGTTCATGCCCTGGGCATGACCCCTACTGTGCTATAAATAGACTCCGTGTTTCTTGCTGTGTTCCAAACAAACACAACGATCTTTGATATGTTTCTTCTATAAATATATCCATGAATATATTTATATATATATATATATATATATATATGTCAAATATATACTTACCCTATCTGGTCCCATCTATTTTATCTCTATTCTACTTTAAAGAGCCTTCGTATACACCTATGTACTGGAGAAACCACTAACGGTTTATCGATATCTTTAGAATGATCAGATATCGGCTTGATATCATTGAGACGCTACTTGCTGTGTTAAACGTGATGCGACAGGCTTTACTGTGTTTGAACCATTCAACGCGTTTTGTTGGGTTTAAAATGACCGTACAAACACCCACACTCAGTAGAAACGTTTTGCATCCTCCTACAACTGACACATAAGTATATAAACCATTTGTGTGTGTGAACTATGGAGCAATACATACACTCACACACACTAGCAGAACATTCAACACACACTAGCAGAACATTTAACACACGCAACCAATTATATGGGGTTTATGTACAATCCCATCCACTCACACACTCAAAGAAATAACAACACGCACAACTAAATATATCAATTCTATGTCTATACACATACACTCATACACTACCAGAATAAATAACACACAACCCATTATCCCAGTCGTGTGTCTATATCCATCCACTTATGCACACAGAATAGATAATACACACAGCTAGTTTTATCAGTTATATGTAGTCACACACTACCAGAAGAAACTACACACACAGCTAAATATATCAGTTATATGTACTATTATACCAGTTACATGTACTATTATACCAGTTATATGTACTCACACACTACCAGAAGAAACTACACACGCATTACTAACATCAGTTACATGTATATACCCACGCACTCGCATACTACCAGAATAAATAATACACACACAAACACACACATAATACACACATACACACACATATAATATTCACATACACACACACATAATACGCACATACACACACACAATACACACATACATAATACACACATACACACACACATGATAGACATATACACACACCGCTTGTTCAGTTGCTCCGCCCCATTTCCCCTCAACACGTGTCGGCGTATTCGCTTCGGTTGTAATTGACGGTTTTGTAGTACGGCTCTCAATCTTATCCTTGTCCTGGATATTTGCCCTACCCCTACGGCTCTCAATCTTATCCTTGTCCTGGATATTTGCCCTACCCCTGGCTTTGCTGGGGGTGTTCTTCCGCTCCTGGTTAATTGTCTTCAATTTGTTGTTGGTCGGTTGCGCTGTTTGGGTAGAGGTCTTGCGTACGCGTGTGCTTGCCCGTGTGACTTTGGGGTCGGTGGAATATTCAGCAGTCTCAGCCTGGCAATAAAGATGCATGTATAGACTTATAAGATTTTGGTGAACATTGGGTGAACATATATATATATATATATATATATGTAATCTTACCTGAGTCTCCAGCCGAACGTTTATCGTTTGACCCAATAGCTCCTGCCCGTCGTATCGTTCCAGGGCCGCAGACACACCACCGAACCTCGGCCCAATGAGCACTCTACCCACGCCCTATAGGTGTATGTCGAGAAAGACGAATAAAGTCAGTCTAGATATGTTATAGACATCGTGTACTTAGCACTGTGGTTGTAT